ATTAAATTCTGCATCCAACACACTAGGTTAGAAAGTTAACACAAGTCGTACAGCGAATCCGGACAAGAATTACTCTCAGAATTGGGTGTTAGCCAGTATTTGAGGTATAATCCCGCATTTCTGCCCGATAACACCCTCTCAAAATGGTACCATTGGATGGAGAATTAAATTCTGCATCCAACACACTAGGTTAGAAAGTTATGCGAAGTCATAGAGCGAATCCGGACAAGAAATACAAGATATTTGTTATTGATACACAGGAGTAAAGTGAGTATTTCGTGTAAAACTAGTGGTTTTTGCCCGATGACCCCCCCCCCCCCCCATGAAAGTGGTACCATTCGATAGAGAATTAAATTCTGCACCTAACACAAGCACCTAGAGAGTTAACACAGGTAAGAAAACGAATCGGGACAAGAAATAGTCGAATCTGGTGCTAACTTAACTTACGTGTGTGGGGCGTGTGGATGTGAAACTGGATCTTCCCTTGTCCATCCATACCCACGCCTACACCCACACCCACACCTACACCCACACCCACACCCACACCCACACCCACACCCTCAAGATAACCACAGTTATTATCGAAAACATTTAGAAACGATAGACCCTTTCAGGTTATCTAGCTTTGGAGATTTTTTGAATTCACTCAAAAAAATAATATTTTAACTTTCGAGATCATGTCACATATACAGGATGCGACGCCTGTATCGGAGGCTGAACATGTGTTTACAAATAGAAATATAGTTGCTACTAAGAAAAATTGAAACAGTTTTCCTTCAAATTTTAGTAGATAAAAACCTGCAGTTCTTATATAAAGTAACCAAAATATTTAGACTAGACTATTTCATGTAAACAAACCTAGGCATTCTCCACGTCTTTGTGTTCAACCTACTTTATGAAAAGAAACCGTTCTGAGTATCGAGAGAGAATTATAATTTTTTTGATTCTATGTGTTCGACAACACAGAACTTTCTGTCGTTCAATGAAGAAATACGAAGAGTATTATGATTTGTTATAAGCTTCTGAAAGAGCAACGAGTTCTACTACTCTGGAAGAACTTATTTTAGTTCTTGATGTCATTTATTTTGTTACAGAAGTTCACTTATTGTATCTTCAACAAAAATATGTCACGATTGTCCGTTAAAAACTTATTCTCAGCCAACATCTGCAAACGATTGAGAACCCAACTAGAAAAAAATCATTTAAAACTGATCTGAGACAGCTTTTGAAGTGTGCTGAAGTACTTAATACATACCAGTAAAATAAAATCAAACCTTCCGCCTGAAGAACGACACCCATACGCGAAAGTGCCTTTAGCAATACCGAAACATTCCTGGTCATTTTCTACCTATAATCTTTTAATAATTACAATGAAAGAAACTATGAAATCTCAAATGGTAACTTCTTTAGTCTTATTATGAGACCATTCGCATTACAATGCATTCTTCCATTTTGATGAAATTAGAGTGAAGATTAAGCATATATTTATTAATTAAAAAAAAAAGGCATTAATCAAACCTAAAAACTAAATAGATAGCATGTCAAATGAATATTATTTCGATGATCACTGTCATTACAAAGAAATACATGATAATTACGACGAGGATATATCAATTTGATTGTCATAAAAGAATCGAATATAATCTTCATTCTTTAGTATTCGATGAGGTTTGATTTGCACAGGACTGGTGCGATCGGTCATCAAAAATTTGGCCACAAATGTCGAGAATGTTCCAGTTCGAACAAAAATACAATCAAGTGAATCAAGCCTTTTTACATTTCGACCATTTGTATAACCTTGGTTCGTTTTGCGAAGTTGTTGATCGACTTCTGCACTGGCGGTATTCTGAAAAATTCGAAGTTGTTGTGCATCAATTTTGTATCCTTAATCTTCAATCAATTCCACAAAGATGACAAATTTGGCTGGAAATACATCTAATTTCGGACATGATGTAAAATCATGCAGATCAACCAGTAGTCCTTGTTCTCTCCATTGACGAATTGTTTGTTGAAGAGCATTCATCATGTGTTGTTCAGTTATTTTCTCACCAAATATACCTAAAACGTTTCCAACACGATATGCAAGAGAAATGAGAGGAATTTGAGGAATGTCGATTGGTTCTTCTGGTAATGGGACCAAATTATTGGCTCGAGAATAAAATCTTGTACAATTCATGACATCTCCCATTCTATATCGAACCAATCCACTGTCAGTTGTACAAACCACTTCGTATCGATGCCCTGGTTCAAGCTCTGAGAGAAGAAGAGTTTTCGGTTGAGCCTGAATAAGAATTAGAAAAGCAACTACATAATAAAACGGTTGAACGAAGTACGATCCAAAAGTTTAGAGAATACCATAAGAATCATACTATTTGAATTTTAAGTAAAATTTTCATTTTTGAATTTTTGTAGATGATTGGAAAGAGTACACATCTGTGTGTGTGAACATATGTGTTGTTTTTTAATTGAAAAGAAAATTTCTTCTGAAGAAGCTCAGAAAATCCACGTTGTCTCATAGGTTCTACCTTATGAAAAGTTTTGAATATTTTAGTTAGTACTAATTATTTTGTTTCGTACACAAAATTGAGTACGAAATATTTTTTACGAAGTGGTTATTGTCACAGTTTGTTTGTGGGCACAAACTGTGAAAAACGAGTCTACATTCTTAGAAGTTAATAGAAAGTAACTTATAACATTCGCAGTTTCTCAAAAACAAAAGTAGTAATTTGAGGAATAAAACTAACTCACAAAATTTTCTTTGTTATTCTTCAAAAGAAAATTAGTTTTCAACTTGAACAGCAGGCTCTATTACTCAACTAGATCGATACTGTTTGCAAACATGTATAAAAAGTCACTAGTGAAAATTTGACTTGACTGTCGAAGAAGATTTGTCAAATTAGTAACTTGGCATCCCAAAAAATTGACCTTTAATTTCATTAGCCTTCGAATCAGTACTGAATTCTGATTATTTTGAGGCTTGTAGTTCTCCCGAGCACCGAAAAACATTTTTACCGTCATTGCATTTGAAGTCTATAGGGTTCGATAGAGCTGAGTATGTTGGTTTTGAAAGACACATTTTTTCAAAGGTACTTCAATAATAAAAAAAAAAGATCTTAAGCATTTTTTGCCAGCTCTGAAATTCAGTTTTTGATCGGAAAGTGGATGAAAATTCAACTTAGATGCACCACATAAATTCATTCGACACAGATTTTTGTTTTCTATCAGAATGTGTAAAAACTTCTGGAATATTTCAATGTTTTTCTAGCGATATAGGCCAAGTACTACCCAATTGGGTCATATTGCTACAAAGAATAGTTCTTTTGGCCTTATGAAGTTGTAGTTTACACGAATGCACGAGCGAGATTGTTTTACTAAATATGTAAGTCACTGTGCTATTTTTTGATGAAATTATATCCAGTTTAAAATTCGATGTTTAAAGGTCGATTTTGGGCTGAAAATTGCGTTTTCTACAATTTGGTATGAGTCGAAAGAGAACCATATTAGCCAATTCAAAGAAAAAGAAACATGTAAATGCATAAATAAGTTTACACTCTATATCAGATTGAAAGAATTATGATCCAGAACATATTTCTTTTGCTTTCAAGTGGCTAATACAAAATTATTTCGACTCATATAAAATTCTAGAAAACACGGTTTTGAGCACAGAGTCGACATTCACACATCGAATTTTAAACTAGAAATAATTTCATCAAAAAGAACATAACAAGTTACGCATTCATTAAAAAAAAATCTCGTTTGTGCACCTGTATAAAATACAACTTCATAAGACTGAAAAAAACATTTGTTTGTAGCAAACTGATTCAATCGGAGCGGTATCTGGCCTATATCGTTAGAAAAAGATTGAAATGTTCAAGAAGTTCTTATAGATTATGATGGAGAATAAAAATTCGCGTCAAATGATCCTATAACTGATGTCCGGAGCTTTCAGAAAATACTTCAGATTAAAATGTGATTTTCGAACTCAGCACATTCAGCTCCGTCGAACTATATAGACTTCAATTTGATCGGCGATAAGAAATGTTTTTCGATATCAGGAGAACCCAGGTCTGAAAAATTAAATTGCTATCGAGTACAAAATAAACTCCTAAAACCCAGCCATCATTCAATACTGATTTTACAGCTAACGAAATTCTAGGTAAATTGTTTTTTGGGTGCTAAGTCAGCAGTTTGATTACAACGTTTTTCAGGAGATTTACTTTTTGAATATCTTCTTCTTTGATAAATTCAAAAAATACGGATGTTGGTAAGAGAAAGTATTCATCAGTGTGAATACTTGCAATACATCCAAAGAAGCTTTCACTTGCACCGTAGACAGGTAAATTAATCAGAGTGAGCCGTTCTCCACAATAATATTGAACGACTTCTTTGTACATTGAAAATGTGCTTCCTATCGTCGTAGAAGCATAAATCATATTTGACCAAAGACGATGCAGGAGTCCTGGAACATTTTTTTTGAGACATTCATATCGAATATGTTCAGCTCGTTCCAATCGATATGTCTCTTCTCCATATTGAGCAATCACTTTGTTCAATGTTTGATTTAAGGTTGCTCGAAAGTCGGAATCCACAGTATTCTTTTGAACGAGTGAACTTTGATCGAAATTAGCAGAAGAAATACAAAGACTCATTTCTTCAAAATAATTTTCGATTAATTCGATAGTATGAATGAATCCTGGAGCAAAATAAACCGTATAGGAGGAAACATCCGGAATCGCCAATGCAAAAACGAGTTGAACAAATGCACTTGTTTCAAAATCATGGATTCCTTCAATAATATCCAATGTTAGGGTATTATTAATAGACAACAATGATCGAGTTCGAGGAATTGTTGGATTAGCCGAAAAATATTGACTAAGAGGACCAATTAGAATGCCATCTTTTGATCGTTGATACAGTTCTGTGTTTTTTCCGCCTAGCAAGGTGAAAGGATGCTGCTCAGGAAAAGAAGACGATGAAGAAGGAAACGATTTCCGAATAACAGAACATGCTAGGTGTGCAGTTTCATTAAATGTTCTTATCATCGGTGGAGTTACAGGAATAAGCTTGAATTTTCCTGTCGTTCCGGAACCAGTTGCAAAATGAAGGATATTTTCGATACAGAGCAGATTCTTTTCTCCATCAACAACCACTCGATTTGCATACTCACGATAGTCTTCATATGTTGTCAATGGAACTTTTTCTCGGAATTCATCAACTGATTTATATTCTCTTTCTCCAGCAGTATCATTTGTTGACAAGAATGAAATCGATCTATCTTTGTAAAAAGCACAAGAGTGATTCTTCTGAAGAATTGTTGCCAATAGTTCGTTGTTAACTGTCTGTAAATTGCAAAGCGAGTTGCGATAATACGGTATAAATGCATCTATACCCCATTCTTGAGAATTTGCATCCATTGTTTCACAAATTTGCATTCAAATGTATAACTTAATCTTTCATTTGAGTTATTAAGATGGAGAAGCATAGGCAATGATACTGATAAAACAAGATTGTTGAAAAACAGTAAATAGAAGAGACGTACTTGACCTGGTTGTAAAACTACGCTTTGGACTTTCAAGAGTATTGTGCAGGTGCTCTGACAAGGACACATAATAGAAAAATAACTAGGCATAAACGAGATAAGAGATTTCTTTTAACATAAAACTTTTATCTTAAATGTTTGAGAAATAAAAAATGACCTTGTTGCTATTTCGTTTATCCTTTGCTTTGTGAAACAGCCATCCAGAAAAAATACAGTAAAACTTCCCTATAATGAATAGCAACGAGACCCACCAAAAAAGTGTTCATTAAAGAAGGTGTTCATTGTGTAGAGGTTTTGCATTGACTGAACTCTTGCATGTATACAGCGTATAGTTAATACGCTCTGCTCATAGCTACTCACATCTTCTGTTAGGTAAAAATGTTCTTTAGATCGTTTGCCACCTTTGCAAGTTTCTTTGGCCATGGCGAGCGAATGATCTGGTAGTGCTCTGAAGAAGAGACCGGTTTCGTCGGCATTGTAAACGTCATTGGGATCGTATTTGTCGATTATCGAGGGTGTGGGTGGGTGTCGTTGTGCAAATTATTCTTCCTCTCAGTCATACCCACACCCACACCCATGGACTCTCTCTTAAAAATCTAGAGAATGAGGATATCGGTCCCTCGATGAAATCTTAATTGAGAAATCGGCGATTAATCATCAAAATTGAGGCAATTCTGACGACATGGGTAAGTGCAAGTCTCGAGCAATTTATCAAAAGTTTTAGCAATAATAAAAAGTTTTGTCGATTTTGTTAATTCACAGTAGAGGTTTATATGATGCAATACTCTGTCATATGACGTATTGTACTTTCGTGCCGCAAAAACACAGAACGTGCGCTGTATAAAAAGTGACAACAAAGTGAGAAAAAAGAAAAACAAATACACATTTTTTTCAAAAGGTAAGTAGAAACAGGAGCAATAACGAAAATAATCACAAGAATAAAAAATCATTGTTTAGATACATTAAATAATGTCGTTTCTAAATACTTTGCTTGGATTTCTGAAAAAATTGGCCTTATTTATTTTGATTGTGGCTATTGTTATTCCTTTCCGATATAGTTCAACAGATCCAAAATATATTTGTGTTCGTTTAATACACTCCATATTATCTATAAAGCACTCTCTGATACCAGATCGAGCTCGACCAACGCTTAGTGCAAATTATCGAGCTTTTGAAGAAATGCTGCGAATGATGCCATTTCTAAAATTTGATACATCAGCAGATGCCCTTACTGTAATCAAAGAAATGCGTGCTTCCTTCACCATGAACTCCATAATTCCTAAACCATCCCAATGTCAAATTAATAAAGAAGTCTTTGAATATGATGGACATGCAGTTGATGCATATTGGGTTAGTTATCCTCCAAAAACCATTCAAAAAGATTCTGATAAAATATTACTCTACATCCATAGTGGAGGGTATCTGTTAGGCAATATTCATAGTAAGCAGTTTTATATAATGTATAGCAGTATATAAAGTATTGTTTTATACTTTAATAGGTTTTAGCGGACTTGAATGTCGTCTGTCTGAACTTTTCAACCTAACTATACTTCATGTGGAATATCGGCTTTGTCCCGAGCATCCATTACCTGCAGCTGTGGATGACACAGTTGCAATTTATCGTGCCCTTCTCCACCAGAACATTTCCCCATCTCAACTGATGATTATGGGCGACTCAGCTGGTGGCGGTCTTGCTTTGTTAGCTGTTCAAGCTCTAATCAATCATCAATTACCTGTTCCCCGTGGTGTTATTGTTCTATCGCCGTTCACTGATCTGTCAATGTCTGGTGAGAGTTATACACGCAATCGTCATACTGATATATCACCTCAATTCGATAAAAATTGGTATATGGCACAATTATTGGGCTCCAATTGTGTTCAATTATCTCTTGATGATCCCCGATTTAGTCCTTTGTTTGGTTCATTTGAGGGGTTTCCAGCATTGTATATCAATGTGGGTACGGCAGAAAAAATGGAAGATGATTCAAGACGAATGTGGACAATAGCTAAGGAAGCAGGTGTTAATGTAAAATTTGAAGAAGGTTTACATATGACACATATATATCCTATGTTTTTTCTTTATTATCCTGAAGCACAACATACACTTGGTAATATTAACAAATGGATTCAAACGATCTAAGAAAAAAATCAAATAATCGTTTACTATATATCTCATATAATTTCGATATTGATTGACAATAGTATAATATCCATCACTAGTTTCCTATTGATAAACAAATCGATTTGTCTCTTGAATAAAAGACAAATCAACTTGCTGCTCTCAATTCTTGCTTTTCAGCAATCGATTACTAAATCGCCAATAATTCAAATTTAGATATTTGTGCTTTTTTAAATAGAATTAAATGCAATTTAATTTTCGTCGACGCGTTTCGTGTTATTTATTGTATAATGAAACACTCATCAGGGCTCTGCATAATAAAATTAAGCACAAGAATTTTTAAAAAATCGAAAAATTGAAAATAAAATGGAATAGAAAAAAAATGAAGAGGGATGTTTGTCGAAATGTGTATGCTAATTGATAAAACTGAGAACAAACTCTCGTTTCTGTTCGATGATTCTATGATTGAGAAAAAGAACACTTCTAATTTTTTAGAGTAGTTAAGGTTTTTACGGTTTTAATGGATAGTCGCAGATGAGGATGAGGGTGAAGGGAGCAGCCATCGACTGAAAGTGCACGAAAATCTTAATACAGTTAATAAATCCCAATAAATCTCCATTAAATAAATAAATCCTAATAAATCCCATAAAAAAATCCTGGTAGTCCCTCGATTATTATTTTCGAGATTTTTCTTTCGAGATTATTTAACATAATCGATTTCTTATAAAAGAATGCACGAAGATTGACCAGAGCATTTATACGGATACTGATCATCATAGATTCGAGTTTCATCTTCACCGTAGACATAGAATGTATATGTTTCATCTATATAGAAAAACAATATGAAAGCATTATGAAAAGGTCTCAACAGAATCATATTACCTGTCATTTGGTCAAATTTGTAATCAATCTCTTTTATATGAAGACGTTGAATAACACGACGTAGTCGAATAGTGTTTCCCAATTTGTTGCAGTGTTCTATATGATATTTCTCCCGGATATTGGCTCGAAGATCAACAGGTAATTCAACACATGAGTCGAGTACATCATCAATCGATTGTTCCGAAGATGACCAAACATCATCGAATTTCAGACATGCGCTTTTATTCGGCAACTTTCTGATTATTGAAGCGGGAAGGATAGTGCTGTTACCACAATCTCGTATAATTGATGAGTGATGATTTTCCCATTTCACATGCAACTGATGCCACACGAGCATGAAGCGAAGACCCTTGCAATTAGGACACATAATCCATCCACAAGTGTAGCATGTGGAACAAGTGACTTTTCCGTTTTGTGAACACTTTGGACACGCATAAAATCCATGACCCCAGCATCTTTTGCAGAGCTCGTTTTGACAACATTGAATTGTACCTTGTTGATGACATTGGTCACAATTCTGATAATCAACACCTAAACATGTTGTACATTTAATTTGTCCAATACTCTCACATCTCGAACATCGTTCATGCCGCTGAGTCTCTTTCAGATCTCAGACTACTTCCTGAGGTTTTCCATTGTCGAGTAGAGTGCTAGTAAGTCTATCGAAATGATAATCTTCTCAAATATTGCCCAATGGATGTTCGAATAAAAATTCATCACTGTAACACGGTCCTTCGGCTTTGGATGTTCAACGATTTTCGTTGAGTGTCCACAAACGAACAGTATAGCCTGACATTTCTCGTTCATGGTCTATTTGAGCATGAGCTAATGGGCGAAGATCGAAACAACAGCTACATGGATCATTATTCAAATATTTTCGAAGTTTGCCGAGTACATTTGATTTGCTTGCGAGTAATAATCTATCGTCAGATGAGGGTGAGACTAGCTGCCATGACCATGATTTCGATCTTGCTTAAGGATCTCTTCGGATGGCTTAAAGATTAATTTGAATTTAAGATAAAATCCAAATCAAATCAAATTACATTGTTACTATAGATATAATATATTATCTTCAGTAATAGTAATTCAATGTAAAGGTCTTTCGGTTT